GGTGAAACCCCGTCTCTACTAAAAATACAAAAATTTGCTGGGTGTGGTGGCACACACCCATAATCCTTGCTACTTGAGAGGCTGAGGCAGGAGAATTGCTTGAACCCGGGAGGCAGAGGTTGCAGTGAGCCAAGATTGCACCATTACATGCCAGCCTGGGTGACAAGAGTGAAACTCCATCTCAAAAAAAAAATGTTAGCCGGAGACAACGCATAAAGGAATAAAGGAATAGGTGTGGCTATGTTCCCGAAGAACTTTACAGGCATAGAAATTCAAATTTCATAAAATTTTTGTCTTACAAATTGTTCATCTTTTGACTGTTTCCAGTCACTTAAAAATGTAAAGCCCATTCTTAGCTTTCAAGCCATACAAAACCAGGCTGCAAGCTGGATTTAACCCTCAAGCTATAGTTCGCCAACTCCTGCTCCATCCTATGCTATCTCACCTTACATCTACGTGAAAGATGTAAGGTGTCAGACAGAGTGTGCCTGAACAGTGACCAGCACAGACTAAGTGGTCAGTAAATGCTCATTCTCGTTCCCTTCCCAAATCTCGTTCTCCTTCTTCTTCGCCACAACCAGATCAGATATCTCATTTTGCGGCCAGCACAAGAGAGGAAGGCGAGGACTTTAGCGAGGTGGACTGCAACTTCTCAGTAAAGAAGTTACTGAGGAGTGTCCCAAAAGGGAGGAGAGAGTGGGAATTTGAGCTCAGTGTGGCTCAAACTTTAATGAGTATACACCTAGAGGTCCTGATAAAATGCAGATTCTGATTTAGTAGGCCTGAGAATCTGCTGGTCGGTCCTGCAGGTCACCCTGTGAGCAACAAGCTTCAAGGGCATCCCCTCTGTGTCCACAAACACAAGTCAGACTCGCACTGCCTCCAGGCTTTGGGTTCAGGCTGGACTGAGTGGCTCCCTGGAGACAGGGCAAGGTCCAGGACATATAATCAGGTCCCCTCCCCAAGGACAGCCTGAGATGACTTACAATGGAGGAGGAAGACAATACGGGGCGGAGATCAAGAGCGGGTAGGGGAAGGCTCCAGCAAAGGCGTCTGTTCCTTTGGCAACAGCAGACAGAGGCCTCCTGGGGGCCCAGCAGACAGGAGCCCCTCCCGCCGTGCCTGCCAGGGCTCTGATGGACGGAAGCAGGAGGCCTATTTCCTCATCGGGCCTCTGAATAACTAGGGCACTTCCACAAGGTCACAGTTATTCATTTAAATTCCAGGTCTAATCAGCAGACAGAGCTTGAGAAATTATCCCTTCTGAGGAGAGAGGCTGTCATTGGAGCACCATAAACAGCCCCTCCAGGCAGGAGGGACAAGCACTGAGGGAGGGGAGAAGAAGGTCCCAGAATTGTTCCCTGTGCTCTAACTGACTACTCGACTACTCTTGTCTCTTCGTCACCTCCAAATGGCTTCCAGAGAGTTCTGGAACAGGCAAAAGGCAGGGGAGGGTTTAAGACAGGGCAGAGAAGCCCATCTCTGCCCTACAAGCAGCCCAGGAAGACCAGTGACAAATTCCAATGTACAAAAGCATGGGATAAAGCACCTGACAGGCGTCCCTGCCAGGCCACAAATGGGTTACATAGCCTTAGAGAAGTCCCTTGCCTTCTTGGGCCTGAGTTTGCACTCCTTGGACAGGATACCCTTTAAGCTCCACCATGTCTTGGAACCCTACAAACTCAAAATTTCCCATGTGCTTGTGGCCATACTTCTTGTTCAATAGAAATTTTTGAGGTTAAACTCTGTGCCATGTGCCATGCAAAGAGCTGGGAATGCAGACACAAATAGGACACAGCCTGGCCCACAGCTCTGTCATGTGAAAAGCAGGGTCTGGAAGAACAAGAGCACAAGCTTTGAAGGCAGACAGATCCGGGATCCTGGCCTAGTCACTAGCAGGAGGTGACCTGGGCAAGTTACTGAACTCCCTGCAGCAACTTTTCTCCCTCTGTGCTGAGGATGGTAACACCAACCTGGAGGGGCTGACATGGAGGGTTAAGAGAATGTCAGAGCTGGGCTCCCAGGCCCTCTTCAGCACCTGCCAAGTGCTTATTGTTACTGTTATTATTCTGAACCTCCTCCCCAAAGGCTACAAGGAGGGAATGTGGATTTCACCCCATGAAGTCGAAGAAAATGTGCCTGCCCCTTTTTCCTGGGTGCCCTGGGCTCTTGCTCCAAGTCCCCAGCCTGTCTCTGGGACCTTGGGAAAGGTATTGCCCACCAGGCCCCATCTCAGACTTTTACATTAGGGTTACTTCTAACTCATCTCCTCCACATGTAAAATTAATCAATTAATCAATCGTCCCTTTATAGTCTTCCAGTGGCCTCTGGTAAATAGTTACATTAGCTCATAAAATCCCCAATTTGTCTTCCTGAGGGGAAGGAAAAAAAAGTCAGAGAACCACTAAAGGCTTCTTGTTTCAGAACCACAGTGCTGCTGGCTCCAGAATGCCTGACCAGGGGCTCAGAGAGGCAGGAGGCCCCCGCTGACCTCAGCCAGGGCTGGGCATGCTCAGGCCACCTCCTGCCACGTCCAGGGTCACAAGGGAAGGGTCCAAACCAGTGATTTGCTTCAGGCTCAGAAACCACGAAAAAGCAAGGGGTTGGTAGGGCAACAAGATTGGTAATCAGGAACCTCAAGGACAGAATGAAGAGCACAAGATCTGAAATTAGGCTGCAATCCCCTCTTGGCCCTGCCACTCAACAGCTGGGTGACCGTCACACATCATTTAACTTCCCTGGGCCCCAACTTCCTCAGCACTGAAATGGCGCTCAGGCTACACACCTCAGAGGGATAAGAGAACAAAATGAGACAATAGCCATGAAATTGAAATGGTGTTGGTCAGGCTGATCATAGTTGCTGTTATCTGAGGAAGGGTGACTCACAGACCTCTACCCCTTTGAAAGGATGGCAGAAGGCCTATTGGTCCACTGTGTTTCACTCCGCCATGTTATCTCACCCAGGACCAATATGGCGCCTGTATGAGCACTAGAAAAAGATGCCCCTTTGGTCAGAGGCAGCCGCATGGACACAGCTTGGCAAGAGGAACAAAGGCTGGATTCATACCCCCATGCTGGGAGACCCTAAGCAGGGCCCAGCTCTATGTGATGACCCCTGGTCACATCTCTACTGGGAACCAGAAAGAGAAGAAGCCATGTGGCACTTTACAAACAAAACAAGGTGTTGGGCTTACTCCCTCGCTTCCTTGAGGTTTCCCAGCAAATATCATCTTATCAGAGGATACTTCCCTGACTGCCTATTGTAAATTAGGGACTTCTCCTCTATCCTGCTTCAATTTTCTCCACAGCACTTCTCACCCACCCCCTGACACTATATATATGTAATATATACATAACATGCATATATGCATGTATATATGTATGCATATAAAGTATGTGTATATATACATAGATATGTGTGTGTCTGTGTGTACATTTTAGATTATTGTCTGCCTCTGTCCAAAATAAAAGGTCCATGAGGGTACTGACTGTCTTCTGTTTTGTTCACTGTTTTGTCCCCATGGCCTAGAACAGTTCCTGGAACATAAATATTCGTTGAGTGAGTGATTGAACTAAAATATTATTAAATAGAAATAATAAACTTAATGGCATCTTCCTAGGAAATGCTGTCCTGGGCTTTGGTTCAAACACCAATTATTTTCAAAGGTAGGGAGCAGGCAGGAAAAAATGGAGAGAAACTCTCTGCATTAAGTAGAATAACTGTATTCTACTTTTATGTGGTGTACGATCCCACATAGAACAATGATCAGAAGAATGTTACTTAAGTCTGGTTATTTTAGATATTTAAGAACAATAAAAAGATACATTCATTCAGAAAGAAGGCTGCTAATAAAGAAAATGTCATATTATCTCTAAGCAAAAACAAACAAATAAGCAATAGTCTCATTAGGAAATACTTACAAAATCTTTAATCACTGAGAATTTTCACTCATGAGTCCTAGCATGTTCCAATGGAGAGTCAAAAGTTCAAATCCCAGTGCTACCACTGACAAGCTCTATGACCGTGGGCAAAACTGCTTAACCTAACAGGCCCTAAATTTCCTGTACATTAAAATGAATATAATGATACTTATCTTGTATTAATGCTATAAAAAAAATTAAATGTTAAAAGGACTAAACAAGAAAATATGTGAAAACACCTGAGATGATGCTCCCTTCCTATTTGGTCAAGTTAATTATTCTTTTTAACTCAAAGTTCTAGCCAGTTCAGAATAGTCTCCAAACCATTCTAAGTCATCTGACACTTATCCATAAATGTTTGCATCAGTTCACATGATTCTATGTATGTGTGTGTGCATATATATTTGTCTATACACACACAATGCTTAAAACCAGGACTCTGGATGAAGACACACTTTAAAAAGAGAAATGCTTAATTATTATAAAGGTGGTTCTTTTATTTTTTCCATTGACAAAAACCATTTATTCAAACCATCCCACTTTTTTTTCCACAGTGAGCATGTATTATTTACATAACCAGGAAAAACAATAAATATTGCTGATTTCCTTGTGAAAAATACATTTCTTAGAATAAACAGAAAGAAAGCTCCTTTCACCCACATCATATTTTCCATGCTACGTATGTCATATCTTCTGCTTTCAACCATATGAAGCTACAAAAGATAAGCAGATGTGTGGAAGACAAAGCAAAACCTGTTCATTAAATTGGAGAATACTTATCTAAGAACATCTTTACAAATACTTTCCCAAAAATGCTCATTTTCTGAATCACCCAGAAATACTAAGGAGAAGGAAGTTATTATATTAAGTATGAGACCCATATTCCTTTGGTTTTAAAATGGTTCTTCAAAACCAATACAAATCCATTAATTCGAAGCATTTCTTCTTCTAAACCTAGATCAGTGAAAATGCAATATACTCAGAATTTTGTCTCTCTAAAAGTCTCACTCAGACTCAAACCATGCACAATCTAGCAGAGGGGAAATTCCCACAGCAGCTGTGCAAACACAAAGACTCACCTGGACCTTGACTGACATCTGTGGCAGCATTTTCAAAGGGAGGGAAAGGGAGAGGAGAGAAAGGGGGAGAAAAAGGAAGAAGAGTGTTAGCAGCACACACACACACACACAATGCAATATGCACTTGCATGACTATCAAGTTCATGCAAGCCCCAAAGGTACTCAGCTTCTGAGCACTTAGTTCTACCTTCACCCAAAAACCACCCATGCAAGCCGAGGGGCCAGGCTCCCTTTTCACTTTGCATGTAGCGAGAGAGGTAAGCTTCACATCTGTCCGGAAAGACATCATCCTGGAATCAGATAGGGCTTCAAACAGCCAAGCAGACTGGAATCCTGCAAGAATATTGGTTAAAATATTCTGGTTGATTTCTGCACACTGACACCGAAGAAAATCCTCCTCCTCCTCTTCTTCAGATACCAAACACTGGACATGAAGTCAAGCAAGGTTTCCCAGCAGAGAGAAAAAGTAAAAATGGACCACTCCCTTGAGAAACAAGCAAAAGAGGCATAACAATTAAGAGCAAGTTACAGATTTATTCGCCACATAGGACTGAAGGACATAAGATCACAAAATATTTACAAATCACCCCCTCCCCAGTATACCCAGTGACCACGCTTCATCACAGACAGCAGTGTGTGTGCATGAGATTGTGTGTGAGTAGATCATTCATCATACAAATTGAAATCCTGCCTCCTCCTTTAATTGTTTTCCTTGCTTTTCACCCCATCACTAATGACAGAAATTGCCATTTGGAATCACTTTTGACAACTACGAATAAACACCCAACCCTAGAAAGGTTGATATTTGAATTAAGCCAATGAACTTTCAGAAAATGAAGAACGCTTCACTCCTATCAGCTCCATGAACAACATAATCTCCTCATCCTTTCCTCAGATGTGAAATAGAACTGGGCTGGGGAAGCATAACCCAGAGCAGCCCAAGGCACTGTTAAAACCCCTAGGCCCAATCTGAGAGGATATACCACAGCAGAGGAGAAGGAACAAGGGGCTGCTTCAGGAAACCACTGACCAACCCGGCAGTCTTGGATAGCTCACTTAGAATCACTGAACAGTGGATCTGGAGTAGCCACAGACACTAAGTACCTAGTTTAGTTCTTTTTTGTAAAGATGGAGGATGAAAGAAGTAGAGACTTGTACTAGGTCACACAGCTACTTCAGGGGCAGAGACTAGAAAATATCCTAGATCTCCTGAATCCCACCCAGTCCATCATTCCATTCAACTGAAGCCTAGGTCCCTCAAGAGCATACAGGAACTGAATTTGGTTTGCAGATTAAAGCGATCATGCTGAAGCCCTGGGGAAGCTGGGTGAGCGTCTCCCAACTACCCTATGAGTGGGTCATGGTTTATTCTCTGTGCCTCTAATTTGCTGCCTGAACAGGATGGGTAATGTTCTTCATGCCAACCAATAATGAAATGCCTGCAATCAGATTTGTAAAGTTCCAGTGTATCCTTAGGGCTCTTGTCGCAGGAAAATCCAGGTGCTGACCAACTAAGCTGTGGTCCAGAACGAAAGAGAAACATACCCATAGCAACAGCTGAGCACTTCTCTAGCCCCCACCCTGCCTCCCCTAGAAGCTGTATCTGCCCAAAGAAACTTCTAGAAAGCTCTGAATCATGCCTCAGCCACACCCCCACTTCAGGTTTTCTAGTGTGTTAGATTTAGGGATGAGTGGCAGGAAGAAGAGAAAAGGTGGAAAGGGAAAAAGTGTTGTATAAACAACTAGGCAGGGCCATTAATTGTTACTGATGGATTGCCTAGAATAGATATTAAAATACCCCTTAATTAAACAGGATATCAAACTATTTACATGTGGCTGAGTTCTGTGGCAGAAGAATGTCAACACCATTGCTCATACAAACAGGCTCTTTAGGGACACCAAGTCCCAGGGAGACAGAATTCCCTGGAACTCCAAAGGTTTTTCAGTACCGGTTACTAGCCCATTGGGGATGTGATTACGATCTTAAACTTCAGAGACAGACAGGTCTGGGTTCAAATCCCAGCCTCTCTGTGGCCTTGGACTCATCATTAAACTTCTAAGAGTCATCTTCCTTGGCTATAAAATGAGAATGATATCAGAGCCTCCCTCATGGGGGTGTTATGAGAATTAAATGAGATTAAATACTTGTAAAGCACTGAACTAAGTACAAGGCAAATGTTACATAAATGTTAGTGACTCTGATTGTTATCAGTTTGAATTACCACAGACAGAAATACAAAAAAATATTGACCAGATGGCTCACTGGAAACACTAAGAAATCACAGGAATGAAGCCAGTGATTTTGGTTCCACTTTTCTGCTTACGAATAAGGATGTCTGCTCCTGATCTCCCCTCCCTCTGGTTCTTTCCCACCCCATTCCTCAGTGCGAAGTGAAGGAGTGAACAGAAGCAAGGATCAAAACAAATTCCATCCTTATTTCTTTTGTTTTCCCTCCTCAAGTCTCAATTTGGCATAGTTCTAGTCCTGTATGTAAAAATACTACACCTATTCCTGTCAAAGAGGGGCAACAATCCCACCAAAAACAAACAAACGAACAAAACCTTCTGGCTGGGGATCAAGGTCCAAGCTCAGTTCCTAGCTGTGGCACTGACCTGGAGGCAGGTCTAAGCATTATTCCAACTTTAGGACTAGAGACACATTATCACCTGGCCCCTGGCCCAAGAAGCAGTGAGTGACCTGAATCTCAGGACTCAATTCTGACTAACAGCATGAAATGGTAAAGGCAAGAGGTAGATGAAGGAGGGGGATGGCTAGCAAGTAAAGATCAAAACCTTAGCAGTGTCCATCTACCAGACTGCCTATCCAGCATCCCCTTCCTCTTCTGCTTGTAACAATCCTCAGTTGTTTCCCAGGGAAGCCTCCCTTCCCAGCCTTAGCCCACGTGGTTTGCTAGAGGTGACCCACTCCCACTTGAGCTCCAAGGGTAGTAGTCATGTGACTCAGTCCAGGTCTTGAGAATATTCTATCTCCAATAATTGGCTCTGGAACAGACACGTGACCCAAGCCCAACCAACAAGAGTCGACCCATGGAATTTTACTGGAATTATCAGGAAATGGGGTGCTTTCATTTCTCTAGAGCTGCCATATTCCATCTTTGTTACCACGTGAAGACAGCTTACCTAAAAATGTGGGGAGCATAGAAGAAAACAGCTTTTCTTAATAAGGGGATTAAGATGACCTAGAACCAAATCCCAGCTCCACCCCCTCATCTAGAGGCAAGTATCTTAGCTTCTCTGAGCCTCAAACTTCTCATGTATAAATGGAGATACTAAAAGTATCTATTTCTGTGAGTTTTATCAATGAAGATCATCTATTCACCATTCAATACATATTGACAAAGCATCTATCATAGGCCAAACTCTGCTTTAAACATTGGAGACATAAGCCGAATGAAACAGACAATACTCTTGGGTTTTAATGGGAATAAAAACAGATATATAAAGTCAAATAGTGATTGGAGCCATGAAGAAAGGAAAAGTAGAGTAAGTGCCAGCAAAGTATCCCCATTTTAGAGAAGGTAGTTAAAGAAGGTGTTTCTGAGGAAGTAGTATTTGAGCTGATACCTGAAGAAGGTGAGAAACACTCTTATGTATACCTGACAAAGACTATTCAGGCAGGGGAACAGCAAATGCAAAATATCTAGGCTGTATCTGCTCAGTTAGTTATTTCTACGTTATGATAGAAAAACCGAGGACTGGCTCACATTACCTTCCCTCTCCCACCTTCCCAGCTCTACCATTCACACACGTCCTCAGTAGGTAACAGGTACTCAATAAATATTCGGGGGAAAAAGTAATCCTGATGAAAACTAGCTCTGGCCCAGTTGCAGCTATCTCCCTTAGGATCTCCATGCTCTAAACAGTAGGAACAAAACAGGAAAGAAAGAATTGGAAACCCACCTCCATCTTTCACCCACTCTGTTCAGCATCACAACCAGGGAAGAAGTAAATTAGGGCATTCCTGCCTCCACTCAGAGCCCCATGGACACTTATTGCATATTCAACAATAACTTCAGCCACAAGTGCATATGTTCAGCATGGTTATCCTCAAGTCCAAGGGAAACAATTTTCTGCAGTTTGGGGAACCTGGTTCTTCTAACCTGATATGGTTTAGCTGTGTCCCCATCCAAATCTGATCTTGAATTGTAGTTCCCATAATCCCCACATGTCATTGGAGGGACCCAATGGGAGATAATTTAATCATGAGGGCAGTTACACCCATGCTAATCTTGTGGTAGTGAATAAGTTCTCACGAGATCTGATGGTTTTATAAGGGGCTTTTCCCCCTTTTGTTCAGCACTTCCCTTCCTGCCACCATGTGAAAAAGGACATGTTTGCTTCCCCTTCTGCCATGATTGTAAGTTTCCTGAGGCCTCCCCAGCCCTGCAGAACTGAGAGTCAATTAAACCTCTTTTCTTTATAAATTACCCAGTCTCGCGCATTCCCTCACAGAAGCATGAGAACAGACTAATACATTACCACTGGGGGGAAAAGAAAGGACCCATCATTCACCACTATTGCACTTGCAGAATCTAGCTCAGCCGGGGTAGTCCTCCCACCTCACCCTTCATTTGTACTAGATCATCTGGACAGGTATGAGTCCAAGTTTCCCCGACTTGCTACTTCAACTCCCCCATGCCTCTGGAGGAGCTCTGGGGAACATGGGACAGGCTGCACAGCCAGCCTCCTGTAGGCGAGTCCCAGTCAAACCTTCCGGGACCCCACCTGGTGAACTCTGCCTTGAGTCTGACCTATTTTCTAGGAGAGAAAATAGAATATAGATTTAAATGCAGTGGCGCTCTGGAAAACTACAGGCCCAGCAGTATGAGAAAATAAAACAGCAAGAGGTAGCTGAGGAGTGTGCTGGCACAGGGGAAAATGCTACCACCCCTAGATCAATCTTACCTGGTTTGTCAACTGCCTTTTCTTCTGCAATCTGCCCCCATTTTCGTCTATTACAAATTGATAAACACATATGTATACACACATATTAACCT